TTTAGAAAGACTCTTGAAAAAAACCTTCTAAAGAAAATACACTGTCTGGATGAGGCTAATGGAACAGAGGCTAGCTTGAAAAAGGAATGAGACTGTGACTCTGTGTTCTCTTTGTACTCTCTGAGGTAATTCATCATCATTTTAACCACCATGTATGGTGGGTGATAAACAAGCGTGGGGAGCACATACATATGTGGTTTGTCTGCTTTCCATGCCTGTTAAATAAAGCTGGCCATAATACTCAAAAATGTAATTCACATTTTCTAAAGGTGAACAGCACAATATAGCCTATGATAACGGCAACCATCCATCTTATTTAGCTGAATGACAATGAATGCCACAGTATTGTCATGTTATAGCTCCATCTGCCAAAACCCAGACAGCCTCCTAAACTGATATCCATTCACACAGAAAAACACAATCATACAAAACATACACCATACTGTATTAATCCCTAATAGGCACTTGACATTTGTCACAAATCACTGTTAAGTCTCGAGCCCTGGCTTGAAATGGAATTTATTATCAGGTGTCTTAAATGACAAATGCTACTAAGGTAAACAGATCATTCACAGAAAAGGGGAAAGGGATGTAAACACCTGTTTTGGGAGCGTCATCGGCACAGTGCAGTGCTTCATACTAAAGCCCAAGCCGGAGTGATGTTGAAAGGTGAAATCTCTACACATCAATTTTGTCCTGAGCAGCACAGCGCAGCAGAGCTTATTACAGACTACCGATCTGTCTCAAGTGTTCAGACTGTGTCAGTAATGCTGGGCTCTTGAAAAGCTTCATTAAAAAGCTTGGCCATCCAGAGCACATCCGTGGCAGCCAAATAAAGTGTCAGACCACATTTTTCATCTGCAGATTAAACCTATGTAAGCCTGAATTAAACCAAATTAGATCTGAAAATGAGAAATAAACCAAAGCCATATGAGTGGAGGGGTGTGTGTGCTGAGAGCAGGAGGAAACTGCTCCAATACCATATGGAGAACTGCTTGTGTTGAGTTGTCACTGCCTCTACGTCTGCAACCCCTTATGCATTTTTGAAGAGATTAGAGCCTTCTGGTCTGTTGTTTACACATACCCACATATTCTATTTCATTTATTCGTGTGGATACAGGGAAGTAGAGGCTGACCTCCCTTATTCTTTCATCTATTGTGATCTAAGGGATCATTCCTGCACTCAAGTCTCTCTAGATTAAAGGATCTGCTCTTCCTGACCACGGCAAGGCTGTTTATTCTTCCACAATGGAAGTCTAGGTGCTTTTAAGAGTGAATTTCACGCTGGCATTGGGGCCTTTTGTGCGCTGTTGAGTGCATCAGGGCTACAGTGTGCTGGCCTGGGAGATAAACTCACTGCTAATCAATCACAGAGTGTCCTCTTTTTTTTTTTATTCTGTCCACTCCCCCCAACACACACACACACACAACACAACACACACACACACAACAACACACACACACACACACACACACTTCCTTTGCTATTGACTGTAATAGTGTCCTCAGACATCAGCACCCTCTGTGTGCACATTTCAATCAGTGGACAATTACAGTCCACGTTGTAGTTGTTAGTGCCACCCAAGATTTCACATGTATCTCAACTGGATAACCAAGTGGTCGGAAGAAGTACTACGTTTCTTGTTAAACTGAAAATAAAAGTAGCAATGCCACAGTGTATAAATACTCTGTTAAAAGTAAAAGCCCTTCATTCCTACTACTGCTTAAGTAAAAGTTCAGACCATCAAATATATATTTAATTACCAACAGTAAAAGTACTCATTATGCAGAATGGCCTGTTTCAGAATAATGCATTATGGGCCTGGTGGGTTGCCTCAGCTGGTGACTTAGAACTGGTGCAACCAGAGGAATCCAACTGTTTAATTAAAACATATATGTACTGATGCATTCATGTATACATCACTGTAATGTGGCAGCTGGTAAAGGCAGGGCTCATTTTAATTACGTTATATACTGATGAGTAGCTTGTGAATTTTGCCCTGGGGATCAATAAAGTCTAACCTATATTAATGCATCATGGTTATTTGATTGCCTAATTGATTATGTATTGTAAATCTGAATCTGCAGAGTAAGGAGTTATCGAATAAATGTGGTGGAGTATAAAGCCTGTATTTGCCTGAAATGTAGAAAGTAGCAGGAAATGAAAATACTGAAGTAAAGTACTGTACTGGTATTGGTAAATTAGTTAATTTCCACCACTACAGTGGGTAACACACATGCACACACATCTAACAACAGTTAGACATACTATCAAGTCAAAGTGTGTGTGTCCGTGGAGGGGGTTGTGGTGGTGGGCTGTGGTCTGTACTGTGCCACCCCAGTGTGTTAGATCCTCAGCCAGCCCATTGTACTGAAATTCAGGCACAATAACGCAGTATCTTCCCCAAAGCACAGCCCTTATCATGGCCCTGAAATGACTCGTCTCTGTGGACGCCCACAACACAGGATCCTCAGGGCCGTGTGCACAAAGCTGGAGGTGAGCAAGCCGAGCAATCTAGTCCTATTGTTTCACGCATGATAAACTGGAATTCAAACCCTTCATTCATGCTCGATCTCTGGAAAGCTGTGTGCAATCTTTGATATGAGCTACTGGAGCAATCCTGAACTTTCGTGAGCCTTTTGATGGTATAGCACACAACATCTCATCATGTTGTGGCTGCCTTTGAGGAGAGATTGAGAAAATGAATAAAACAACAATATGTACAACAACCTGCTCGATACTGCCAAGTACATTCAAGGCTTTTATTCACAATGTATTTCTTGACTGTGGGCTCTATATAAGACATGCAGTAAACAACTGTCAGCTTATCATTTTCTTATGAGTTGACACAAAGCTTGAAACAGAATGATGTCAGTTATCAATCAGACTGACACTAGGTGTGTTAATCTAGTAAATGCTGTAGTGATCAATTTCATTTCTAAGTATATCAAACAAAGCAGGGGGCATTCATATTTAATGTGCAACAAACTGCTAACACAGCTAACAGGAATGACATCCTTCAGGCATTATGAAATTTCATTTATTCCGACATTTAATAAAATTTTGCATATATTCTCTATAGTAAAAACTAAGCTTGCATAATTATTTGAAAAAAGGATGTATATGTATCCTTTTTAAAAATCTGCTTTGGGAGGCAGCCAGACTAAACACCAAGTAATCATGAACAAATTGAAATTGGAGGGAAGACCTCCTGCTCCAGTGCATGTTGTTTCTGTGGTTTGATTGGAAGACTTTCCAATGTAAGGGAAAATCTGATGTGCTTCTGGGTAAAATGTATCACTTTATTCTCTCTGATCTCGTTAAAAGCTTACTCACTCTTGGTCTAGTTAGAGTTGAGGAACCACGGCTTGTGCTTGTGGAGCTTTGCCAAACACTGTTCAGGGAAGCCTCCGTAGACATCTACACCCTCTCTTCATGAATTGTAATATTTTCCACTTGATCTACCCACACCAGAGATAGATATCAGTCAATGCATCACAAAATTGTCCATGTTATGTGCAACAGTGAAGCCTCCATACGGCAAGTAGCAATCCTGGATGTGGGACAACACAACCACATAAGTCAGCTTTGCACATTGGCTCGTTATTTACAGTCAGCAATAAGCTATATAAAACCTTATTTACGCCAGTGTTGCCAGATGGATTCCCCAAGTACATGTTACAGCAATCATCAAGCAGAGAAGAAGTGCCGCAAACATAGCACATCAACTGCAAAGTAATCTGGCAGCTCAGAATCATTTGGCTGCCTGTTCACAACATCCATAACACCAGCTGAGGGATGTTGTAGCACATCAAGCTGTGAGCTTTATAAAACACCTCAATCCACAGTGACAGATATAAACAGTACCACAGTAAACAGAGATGACCCCCGAAGGTTACCATCACTCAGTGACTCACAAACTGATAAATGTTCTGTACAGCCTCCTGACAACTGGACACAATTCTATCATCACATACTTTTAATGAAAATATATTTGGGTGATAAATATCATTTTTAATTCACATCACATAAAATAACGTGCTGTGTGCAACTAACTCATAAATGTGTGTATTTAAATTAGTCCTAGCTTTAATTTGGCCATTTCACAACATGGAGTTTGACCTGGTTATGTATATAGAGGTATTGGGTCAAGCACAAGAAATACATACTTTTAACAGTTTCAGAGTAATACTCGATAATCAGTTCCAATCTGACGCCAAGGCCAAACAGAAATAAACTTGTAAACTAGCAAATCAGTATTATTTTTCCTCGCTGGATAATAAGACATTAATGTGGCTTCTCTGTGGTGAAGACCTTTGCAGTAGCACACAGCTCAATCATCAGAAAAAGTGGCTTTGAAATTAAGATGTCTACATCCATTTTAGTTTCCCCCAGGGAAGATGGATATATTATGTATCTTTGTGATGGTCATTTCAAATGATGACTATTTTGCTTCTAACCTAATAACTAAAATTGAAGATGATCACCTGTCAAATTATAGCCTACCATTCCTTGTGCTTTCAATATGACTGTGTTTATGTATGTTTTTCTACTAAATAAATTGTATTGGTACGATGGATCAGATCATGAATGAGTATTTGAGTCTTCTGTCCTTGAAAGGAATACTTATAATATATATGATACAAAAATTTAAAATTCAGATGATTTCATCCGGTGTGTTTATGTTCTTCTGGGTTTAATAGCTCTCCCTAGCATAGACCAATTAAAAAGTCAACAGACCATTTAAGCCCTGATTAGTCTCAGACTGGCGTTTAATTTGATATGCATGCAGACCACAAACTAAAGGGCTGATCAAGCGAGGAAGGTGGATAAGATGTCTGTCTGATACAGAGACGCATGAGAATTAGTGATCTGTGTTTTTGCGTTGGTCCAATCATCTCAATTCACAGTAAATCAACAAAAGCATGAAATAGAAAGTGCCGACACACTTCAGATCGACAGCTATTTTTTAAATATGCGTTATCCTGGCATGTCCTACCTTATCAGGATTCTCTTCGATCCAGTTTTTTACTGTATTCAGAGCGATTTCAGCTGCAGGCTCATTGGGAAAGCCTATAGGAGAGAAAAAAAACAGTGTCAATACCAGTTGTATACAGCATGCAGTTGCATGAGGGATACAAAAACAGACAGGCAAACAGACAGACAAACCGATATCTCCACAGGTAACAGCATTTCTCCTAAATAAATGGAAAGCAGCACAAGCTGCTTGTCTCTGGTAGATGAGACCAGCTGTCTGATAAACTACTGCTGTAGATGTGTGTTACCAGATGCACAGTGATGGGAAAACACATACACTTACAGACATATTTTGGGGGTACAAAGTGTAAGTAAAAACTACATATGCATCTGTAATCACACCACAATTGCCACCTCAAGTAGAACTGATCAGTGTTTTGTCTTTATGCGTGACATTACATTTATATGTGGGATCATTAACACCTCCCTATTTATCAGTTTGCCAGAAAGAACATGTAGAAAAACTTTTGTGGCTAAGAAGCAATAAGGCTAATTACAATATTAATCACAACAGTTGTGCACGCTCAGGAATCCTAAAACTGTGTTAACACAATGTATTAATTGCAAACACACAGATTGCAGTTTGATTCATTTTTAAAAAGGCCAGCTAAGGGAAAACTCTGCTCACACAGAGTGAGCTATTGACTACAAAGGCCCTTGGGCTAGCATTGCTACAGTTGAAGAGTATATATTCCATTACTAAATGCGCTAACAATCTGCTACTCAGTCACAGAGTGTTCCCGTTGTCTTCATTTCAAAGTAATTATATTTGAGTTTGGTCTTCTGTGCCTTTCACAAAACTTGATTAAAACTTTTCAATCTAAAGCCTTTGTACAAATCCAAGAGCTGGTCTGAGGTTTCCTTACACAGCCTTAACACTGTATGCCCAATGCAAAGTTAAGACCAGAAGAATCAACAAACCATTTTGGGCCATTTTTTCAGTTCTGAGTGACCAGGCTCACAATTTAAAACTAGACACTCTTCCATATTATTACCCCTCACCTCCATAAGGGACCACAGGTTGCAGCAGACACTGTCTTCTTCTAACAACAGAGGTCAAGACCTCAATTTCAAACCACATCAACTGATACAAGGGCCATGCCACAGTTGTAACCTGTTGGTTATTGCATGGGTCACATTCTCAAATATTTTTCTTTTCCGGGGTCATTGTCACAACTATAACATTCTGTGACCTATGAAACAGGCTTACAAGTACTGCAGCAACCTCTACCCTTTAAGTCGGATGTAAAGAAAAATGAAAAGCCACAAAGATCCAGCCTTATATTTCCTGATTTCTCTCATCTTTCACTCAGACCACCTGGTGTCAAAGCCTCTCAATAACTACTCTGTAAATGCTGTAAATCAACTGCCTTGACAGCCGAGATATACTGTATGTAGTACCCCCCCCACTCTCACCTATCTGACTACTGTAGATGTCTCTCTTTCTTTCTGTTTTTCTTCTCCTCCGCCTTCTCAACCTGGCTGACGAGAGAGAAGAGGGGCTGAAGTGCTGCTGACCCCTAGTTGAGCCCCTGTTCAAGTCCTGGGTGGAGATGTGAGCTGCATACCGACCAACAGTGACAGCCAGGCTGCTACTATGGCTCTGTTAGGCACAGTCTGCAGACAGTGCATGGCCCCGTTCACAGCTCCTGCCCTTCCGAAGCTGCCCCCAGAGCTGTGTGCTCAGAACCTAATCCAGCATGCCAAATCAGTTTGCAGGTCACCCAACTGTCTCCCAAATACACTTAACCTTTTCCTTGATATCACTTTGTCTGGTGATGCTTCCTTTTTGAAATCTGTTTCCACACATATGCAGGTGTACTGACACTCCAACTCACACATCAAGTAACATAGGCAAACAGATGTGCGGAAGACGAGAAAGCTGAGAAAAATAGATCTACGGAGATAGGACCAGCTGTTTAGGAAGAGCACACTCAACGGGAGAGGTGTCAGAGAAGTAAGCATATAAAAAAAAAAGTGAAATAAATCAGTAAAGAAGTAAGAAATATGCAGCCACTTTTACATTCTCACTATGTCACCTCAAGAGAGATGAAGATTTAATTTAAAGCTGAAAACAGGTCTTAATCATAATATTGGGACATTGTGGTCATTCTGGTCACCATCAGTGGGTGGATGGCAAAGAGTACATTTAATCTATTCAGTGTGGAGTTTCTACAAATGCTCTATTGATTTGAGAGCTATACCTATTAATCATAGCAGAACTGAAAAGGAAAGAAAGAGAGGTGAAAAGAGGTGAGCTATAGGACCAGTGAAAAAGATAACAGGAAAGTAGAATGACGTAAACAAACGTTAGAAAAAAGATGACAGAAGGAGCGTGAAATGGAAGGCAGGAAAAAGGGGTCATCGCAGCTGGGGGCAGCCTGTCAGAAGAAGTCCACTCGGCAGCAACATCAACGGCCCAAGGTCAACAGCAGCAGTTTGAGTGTATCGGCAGCTCTCTCTCATCATTTGTCTCCTTCACAGTATTTACTACCTTTACCTCTCCTCAGCTCAACTCTCTTTGCCTCTTTGTCCCTGTCAGCTTGACCAAGTATGCTTATATAATGAAAATCAGATGGCCTCAATCATCACTTTCGTCACCTCTCTTGGCCACGGGAGTCATTGTGGGTAGTACAGTTGACAAAATCCACTTACAGGTGTTAAAAATGATGTTCAGAAAAGGATTGAGTGAGCCGACGCTTTTATATGCTCAAGTGCACACAAAATGAAAAAGTTCAGTGTTTTACTTCTACACCATCTCCACTCAACACCTCCTTCTCATTCTCTTTTGCTCCATTTGCTGTGTGGAGGGTTCAGTGAAAGCTAATCTGTCAGGAGGTGGAGAGCTGGCGTCAGGCGCAGTGATGGTGGGCCCTCCAGGGTCCCTGCGCTGCTTGGTTCGGCTCGTCTCTCTCCTATGCTGGGAATATGGCCGGCTCAGGGAGATTTGTCTTAGTGAGGCGCACTGATGGGATATGTGCAGCGCAGCGCCGCTGATGAGGACTCAGGTGGTGCAGTGTTATTTCTGCTGAAGGCTCCTCTACTTCATCACCAAGCAGAGCACAGCATCCAGCCAGAGAGGGGGAGAGAGACTATGGCACGTGCTATGTGAACAAAGAGTTACGGTGGCACAGCGCACTTACATAACATTTGCATAATACATCCAGTGATGTTGACGGCAATGGTAGTTATGGGTTCAGTGACCACAACAAATTTGGACCAGGGAGAATGAAGTTAGATAATCACTGAATCTGACCTGAGAAGACTGCAGGGCAGGTCTTTTAAGTTAGTGTTCTTCCAACCATTTCATCTCTTTGACTAATGTTAAGCAACAATTAAAAAGAATGATCAAACTATGAGAAAGATGACTTGGTTAAATTTCCTTTTAAATGAAAGGTACATTTTCATCCATGTCTCCACGTCAGCCCAGTGTGCTACGCCAAAGGGGAAGATTCATCTTAAAACAGAATTCAAATATTTTATTCCTATGATCTTCAGCATGTAGGACCTTTGTTAACATGAAGAAAAAGAGAGCCCACTCTTATCTCTGATGCAACCAAAAGACAGAGTCTCTGGCCCCTCTCTTAGGCATATGTAAAACACCTTTATGATCACTTCTACAGGACCCTGGGTGACTTCTGAGAATTATGGTTTTATGTATTTTATACAAAAAAAAAAAAAACAGATGAAAGCCACTGCTTTGGATGTTAAAGCTCAAAAATACATTTAGTGATTCAGTTCATAATGAAACAGCTCTCAGTTTACATCACAGACAACTCGGTCTTGACTCTGAAAGTTGGAAAGAAAAGTTCATGTTCAAAAATATCCACTGAACTGGAACATAAGGGAAATAATATAAATGTGCACTCTGCCTTAGGGGGAATTTTTGCTTTAAGAACAAGCAAGCCATTGCTCTCTCTTTTGCCAGCATGGCAAGTCTTTCATATCCTAAATTTACAGAGTTAACTTTCACAAGAAATTGTGTAGCTAAGGTGTTTTTCTCTGGTGAGAAGGAGTGAGAAGTAGCTGCATCACCTGATAAAGCAGATAGAGGTGAATCAACAAGTTGAACACATGTCTGTGCTATGATACATTCCCATTATTTATTTGTAAATATATGGGTAGGCTGGAGGCACATACTGCAGACCACACCAGTTTTGTTTTTCCTGAGTGAGCTTATAATGTAACAAAGATACCACAACCCGCTGTTATTTTAGGGCTTTATAATTTCTAGTGTTGCTTTTTTGTGAGAACATACAGATTTTTTGTAAGGCTATGTGGCCTAGGTTTGATAAACACATGCTGACTGAATTCTTAAAAAATACAAAGTACAGCTTTTCTTCCCTTGAGGCAAGAATTGTATTGTTGGTCCCACCGCTTTACCTCAGTGGTAGTTGGTCAGGTTCACGTCTCAACACTCGACATTCATTTTGATGAGCTGTCTACCTTGAAGCATCATATAGCCTGAGGCTGAGGTACCTGGCACTCGTAAATTCACCACAGGTGTTGAAATGGTGGTAAACATGGGAAAGCCGCTACAGAAAAAAACCCCAACAACAACAATAACATAAATACCAATGTTTATCTTTGTAAGATATTTACTTTGTAAAAAGTCTTTAAAAAGGGGCTATATGCAAGAATTGGCCACCTGTCGAACTATATACCAAACAAATAGAGGGCAGCTTTCAGCAGGGTGAACGCTAACTGCTGCTAACTGTAACTGCCAGTAGCTAGTTAGCTTAGTTAGCCACGGACAACGGGACCGGACTCAGCAGCTTCCCAGTGAACATGGCCAGACCGGGACCAAACACAGCCTCTGAGACTGATGGAGACCAGATTGAAGACAGGGGAAACAGTACCGAGGAGATTTACAGCGCCTCTGAGCAGGACTCTGACTGTGGGGATGACGAAGACACATTTTTATAAAAAAATGTTAAGCGCTTTTCTATTTTATTTTATTTATTTATTTTAAAACAGCCAGGTTTGGGTGGAATCAGCACAAGATAATACAAAGTAGATTAGCTGATTGTGGTTTG